AGGCTGTCCAGGCCTACACGAGATGAGGCAGGATAAAGAGGGATAATCCCCCTCGATCCCAAATCATTGAGGCCAATTTCTAGCCATGGAATAATGGCGCGCAGCGGCGCTATTCCCAAAAACCCAATCCCCACGACGATTACCCCCGGAGGGCTAGACAAACCGACGATGAAAGAAAAATCAAGACACAAAGAGCACCAGAAGAGGCTTCCCTACCGGCTGGGGCCAGCCAGGGCAAGAGGAGGTCCCGCAAAGCGACCATACTTGTGGTCGGGGTAGACGGTGCACGGGGCCCACCTTTACGAGGCTGCCGAGGCCTACAGAGATAAGGCAGAACAAAGAGGGATAGTCCCCCTTGGTCCCAAATTATCGGCGCTCGCCAGATTTTTTTAACATAAAATTTCCAATGAAATGTAAATATCTCAGGAATTGGCAGCACTGGCTACCATGAGTACCAGGTGATATCGTATGGAACACAATTGCCAATTGACAAGAGGCGTTTTCAATAATTCACTTCGAGTGCTTAGATCACTATCTTTATCTTTGTCATTCTTATGGTTTTAGAGAGAGAGAGAGAGAGAGAGCGATATATCTAAATCACTCCGAGTTAATTTTCGTAAACCCCTAAGATGATTGAGTGATAAATCTACAATCGTAACGCATATTTGAAACGTCAACTGTAAACGTCAAACTTTAAAAACAAAAATAGATGAGTAAAACTAGTGAAATACATATGACATTTTAGAAAAAATCAATAAAGTATAAAATAGCAGTGGTGTTTTATGTTATCTGTAATGAAGGAAAAATGAGTTGGTTTGATGCTGCAGGTTTAGCCAATATCGCAAAGTCGGCTTTAAAAGGAGCACAGAGAACTATCGATAAAGCTTTGGATATTAAAGAAGAATCCAACCTTGTACCATCAAACACTCCTGTTGATACTAATTCCGAAGATTTTTTTGGAAACTGGGGCATAACACATTCTGGGCACTTTAAAGATGCTAAAAAAGATAGTTCTGACAATATTTTTAAAGACAACAATATGAAATCTAGTATTTGGGGATCTTTTACAGGTTCTTTTTTTGATACCACTGAAGACAATGTAAAATCAACTTTTGATAACTTAGAAGATATGGTTGATTCAGGTACAGAACATTTTAATGAAAGTAAGCTTGTTGTTCAACATGGTGATGATGCTGAATTATCTACAGGTTCAAAAATGCAGACGAAAATTGATACAAGTAATATAGAGAAAAAGGAAACAACAGGAATAAATACAGGTATATATTATATGCATTTGAATTAGTAATAAATGTTATTTTTTTTCTTTATTTTTTGGGCATTTTAACACCTGTGAAAATTTTTTTGAAATTAGTAAAATAAACCCTTGCATCAAATGGATCGGTCAAGGGTTATTTTTATGAAAATGTTTTTGCCTAACCAAATAACTATTAGGAATATTGTCCATTTAGACTGTATATGATGTAGTTTTAAGTTTACAAATTGGAAACGGCACATTTACATAGTACATAGAATAATCATTTTGACATATTTAATGTTCGATTTAATAACTATTCTTTATATCTTGATTTTTAATATAAAGAAATAATGATTTATCTATCTTTTATTTGTTTTCATACACATGTTTAGAACTTCATGAAAAATAAATATACTACAGATATTATACAGGTTGGCCTTTGGGGAATCTGTCGAGCTCTAAGAACATGTTTCTTATGTTATTTATGTTCCTTAGGTCATTTTAAGCAAAAATCAACAAATCAAATTTTGTTTTTCTTTCATTTTAAGAGGTAGGCTTTGGAAACAATTTTTATGCACCCCTGGTGTGAATAAAATATGGTATGCCCACTACATTGTGACGTCACTTGAGAGCAATATTGACTAAATTGTAGCATATGTTGGCAAGAAAATGCAACATTCTTTTTCCTAATAATCCAGAGCTATTACATCCTGTTTTGTAACTACTTTCTTAAAGGAAGAATTATCTAGAAAATGTTTGATTAGTATTTTCTTACTTCTCTGTTAGTTTCCATTAATCATAGTATTTATAGAAAGCAGGTTCTGTCAGAACAGCTATGCGAGGTGATGCCTGGAAATATACTAAAAATATATATAAACTCTCATTGACAGATGGCACTGCGGAATTTAGAGAGTTATTTAACTATTTTTAAATTAGTGTGCATTAACTACCACCTCCCCTTGTGATACTACTGTCTATGTTGCTGTCCAATCTCAATTCATCCTAATCGTGAAATTTTGTGCTATTTTCATTTTTCAACAAGAAGTGCACAATTGATATTATTTTAATATTAAGTGCCTTTTTTAAGAAGTTACTATTGACAAATGCACGATCATTTACGTAAAGAATATTAAGTGTCGACACGAATTTGACGATTAATATTGCTTCATATATGTTCAGTAGGTGACACTGTTAATGCCTATTCTAAATCGAAAATAAAAATATGTAATCTACTGTCTGTGAAGGTGGCGATGGTATTGACATTATGTTGAACGTAATATAAGTATTATTAATAAAATCATGGATATACAGGGTGTCCCTGAAAAGGATGGACAACCCTTGACCACAGGTTCCTTGGATGAAAATAAGACTATTTAGCCTAACTTACATATATACAAAAGTGCTCGCCTACTGAGATATAGCCTTCTAAATATAGAATAGATAACCTATTTTTTTCAAATAATTTGAAAAGTATTTTCTTAAAAACTTCAAATTTGGTACACTATTTTTTTTATACAAGGGCAAGGTAAAATAGAATTTAGAGAGAATACATATAGAGGATGTTCTATTTCTAGTGCTTGTGCGCTACTGGCTATCCCGTAACTTTTTTGTGTGTATGCCAATGACGACAGAATTAATTTTTTTTAAAATAAGCACTATTTTAGAAGATTCTTTTGCTCTTACAAAATTTCGATATCGTTTATGAATTTCGAGTAAAATACGCATTTTTTATACATTAAATATAGGCAAAAATTCCGATTTATAATAGCTGTTTTACATTGACAATTTATTGATCAATTAATTCATGAAGTCACTTCATCAAGAAATTGGACAAGTGTAATGCACCAAATCTGCTGTCAAATAACTTCATGAAATTATTCATCAAGTTCTTGACAAATTAGAGCATGTTCTAATTTTCGTCAATTTCTTCGTGAAGTTCAGAAGTACCAACCCCACAGATTTCCAGTCTCAGATCAATCATGAGGTTATGTTATTGGAATATGTAAATAATTGTGTGGCATCGTACTAGTTTTGCATTGTTTTTACTGATTTGTTACTTACAAAAAATAATATAATTTATATAATATATTTAATATGTTTCAGAACGGCACTGCTGTTGTATCAATATAAATATGAGTGGAACCGTGACATTTTTGAAATCTATTTGCTTCTTTGATTCATTGGTAGAACTGATTCATACGTCAAAAAACTTGACAAAGTCTGTAGCAGTGTAAAACCACACTGTTTACCAATAAATTCATGAAGAACTTCGTCAATTTATTGATGAATAAATTGTCAATGTAAAACAGCTTTAAAAAATAATTTATAACTGCAGCCTCAAAGCAGGGAATAATAATAAAAAAAAAACGTCACATTAAAAAAAATAACTACACATTTTTGGTATTAGTATTATCAATCAATAAAATAAAAATCAACACTAATATTTTAAATAAACAATATCAACTAATAATGTATGAAAGTCAACATTAATATTTTAAATAAACTGATATTTGTAATCACACTAAAATAATATTATAGTAAATGCTCAAAGTTACTTTCTTGTTCTTAAACGCAAACATTAGTTCTTCGAAAATTAGAAATTATCCAATAATTGTGCATTACCTCTCATAACATTAATTTCATGTTGTATTCTTTCCCATATTCGTTTTCTGTATTTACCGAAAAGTTATTTTAAACGGTGGTCCTCAACGCTCCCCAAATGAAATAATTACATGGGTTTAGGTCTGGGGATTGAGGTGGCCATTTTAAAGGGGCTTTTAAAATTTTCCTCTACCTATCCACCTGTTAGACCTTTAATAACCTGCAATACCTATCTGTACCCTGTAATACCTGTAACCTGTAATAACTAGTCTTTTAATACTCTATTAAAGGAACTTTTTGAAAGCCAACCTCTGCCGCTAAACGCCTTTTATTTACTTGAGGAATTTCTTCGACCCTTTCCAAAATTTGTTCCTCCAGCTAAATAATTCCGGCCGTACATTATCCACGATTATTTGTTACAGGTAAAAAAAATCCTGTTTCCCGAAGGCGTCTCTCTGCATTAGCAAATGTTTTGTGATTTGGAGTTCTTCGATTAGGAAATCTTTCAGCATATGTTTGAACAGTAGCACAACAATTTCCTTCACAATAACCCAAAACTACTAACATATCAGTTTGTTCACAAAGTAAGCGAAAATTAAATCACAGCTAGCTTGATACAGAACCTTTTAATTATTGCTATGAATTTGTTTCTCTATTATATGGCACCTCGTACTAGAATGTTCTATTTATCTTAAACTGATTTTATATTATTTAATGTGTAAAAAATTCCAATTTTACTCGAAATCCATAAACGATATCAAAATTTTGTAAGAGGGAAAAAATCTTCTAAGATAGTGCTTATTTTTAAAAATATAAATTCTGTAGTCATTGGCGTACATACAAAAAAGTTACTGGATAGCCAGTGGTGCACAGGCACTAGAAAGAGAACATCCTGTATATGTATTCTCACCAAATTCTATATTTACATTGCCCTTATATAAAAAAATATGTGCACCAAATTTGAAGTTTCTAAGAAAAACAGTTTTCAAATTATTTGAAAAAAACTAGGTTATCTGTTCTATATTTCACGTGCACTTTTGTATATAGGTAAGTTAGGCTAAATAGTCTTGTTTTCATCCAAGGAACCTGTGGTCAAGTGTTGTCCATCCTTTTCAGGGACACCCTGTATAAGGTTGTATTTTTGAGTTTGCTTGTAATTTTCTTTTCAATTTCATGGGTTTTCTTATATAGCAATTTAATTTGACAACTTTCTTCAATGGGCTTTGTAGGTCTATTCAAACCTTTTAAGACCAGGCCTAATAGTCTTCAGAATCTCGTAAAGAGCACTTAGGGGGTAGTGTGAATCCTATTTTGAAAAATGGTATTTATCTTTGCATTTTGTACATTTAATTTGTGTATATTCTTTTGTATGTGTAAATTTAAGGCAACATGACCAAAGTTTAGATAAACTGAAATACATGGGATAATGTTTATGTTTCTAGAAAATGTCTTCAATTAGTAATTGTTTAATTGAGTTCATACAGCATGTAATGATTCTTATAAGAAGAGTAAGAAAATCTTTGGCCGTAAAAATGATTCTGCCACAATAACGATTTATATTAATTAAGAAGTTACTGATATCCGAGTTTAACATTCCAGTTCCGCTGATCCCACCATAGTTGAGTAAAAAACAGAAGTAGAAATTTGTGTTGGATTGTGTTTAGAAGTGGTAGTAGCGGTAGTAGCAGTTGTTGCTTGTAAATTTGTTATTATTTTGTTTTCTATTTTTGAAGACTTTTCGTGATTGAATTTTAAGAGAAATTCTTTTTTGTTTTGAGATGACCACTATTATTGGGCAGATATGTTTCCCAAATATCTGAAATTTCTGTTCTTGTTAAATATCATTTGCATTTATGTAGTGAAGTTTATAATTTTGATTTATTATCTCCCATTTTTGCAAAGCTGTTAGTGAATTTTTTGAGTTTTTTTAATCACTTAGTACCTACTCATTATATGTCAGATGTACTAGATGGTGCTGCTATTATTATTTGTAGAGCTATTTTCATTTTTATTACTTACGAAAGTGGGGGTTTTGACGTGTGGTTTTTATCAATCTTGTGTTTCTTATGTTTGTCTTCAATCCAGTGGTGGCTACTCTGGAGCGGTGGCCTTGGAAATTTTCATAATAAAAATATTTAATTTAAAATGTGAAGTCAATTTAACTCGACTTGCAAAATTCATTTAAAAAAACTCTGAATATGTGGACTCCACGTAACTCGCTCCTACACCCGTAAAGTGTTTATAGCGGTGGTCATGGTTACCGTCGCGAAGCAGTGAAAGACAAAATGGGAGTGCGCATATCTATGCAGTTTAGACTAGTCCGACCGTAACCAAATAGTAGCTATTGACGGCTTTTTTTTCTTATTAAACGTAATTTGTTCAGGTATGGTATAAAATTTTGTTACTTAACGTAATGCTTCTTGTGTGTTTTTTAAAAGATTGTAAAAGTATAAATTGATTGTAAAAATGAAGAGAAATAAAATGAAAGAAGTGAAGTATTTCTACAAAAAAAAATTGCCACCATTCGGACAATCTGTTTGAATCCTTGTTTTTGCTCTCACTCGATATCAGTACTTCCACATATCTGTATCGTGGTTCCTAAATTAATAGTTTTCACACATAAAGTTTAAATTATGATGATGTTCAACACAAAAATTAAATGCAAAATAAAAATGAATAACAAAAAAGTTCTCCTGATGCAACTGTTGTTTTAAAAAATTTTGGTTTTTCTTTTCTTTTATATTATACATGGAGTTGGTTGCTCTTAGGTATGTATTAACAAAAAAATTATTGTAAAAATTAAAATTTAATGCATGTTAAAATTGTAAATCATTAAGTTGTTTTATATTTTCAGGTTTTTATGTTTTATTTGAAAAATAATCTTTGAAAAAGTTCCCGATCGGGAGCGAAACGTTAGAATTTAATAAAAAATTATTGCTGTGTGTTTTTTATCATTTTGACCAGCGGTCAAACTAGAACCTGATACCTAAGAAAAATAATTCCCAATTAGAAGACAAAAGGTTCAAGAAGTTTTCCATATTATATA